ACAGAACAAGATCTTGCTTATTTCTTTGCAATTTTAAAAAAATGCAGGAAACGTGGGTAAAAGGCTAAAAGGAACTATGCAAGGTTCCTATTACTGAATTCCTTTTTTTACTGTTAATTGTAGCATGAAGGTACTGGACGTTCAGTCTTATCAAGCTGTGGGTTACTAGAGCCCCTCAAATTAAGTGCATGTCTCCCAGAAGGCTCTTGTGGGTAGCACCCCATCTGCAGTAAGCTCTGGTACCCCTTTCTTCTCTGCAGTGATGCTGCCAGTAGATGCAGCAAAAACCTCTGAGAAGGCTTTATGAGAATTACTGCTGCTTGAAGCAGCATTCATTTCTGGTTGAATATCTACTAGAATATTTGAGGTGTCTGAAGAAGAGCATGTCAGTGGAGTGCGGCAGCCCTCTGGCATGACTCCAAAAACTGCACAAAGCCCCCTCACCCCTCTGCAGAAATAGGGCAGCAAGAGAGGGCTGGGGGAAGCAGTCTGCAGTCTGTGCTCACCTCTTTCTGCAGCTTTTGGGGCATTTTCCTCTGCTTCACTTTTTTATTTTTTTTTCTTCTGTATTTCCTTTAGAGAAGGGAACATCTGGAAATGCACTGATTTGCCTTTCATTTTAATTTCTTTTCCTGTGGAGATCACAGAGAGCTGCGGTCACATAAGCATGCAATAGACTATGACAAGGAAAGGACCCCCTCCATTGTCAGGTCACAGGTTTTTACAGCTTCACTAAGAGCACCATCTGCTGGCATCAATATATTTATTTTTCCCTGTTCTAAATCTTTTCCAGAAGAATCAGGCTTATTATTGTCACTTCAATAATAGTTTAGCATTTGCAAATTTAATTGAATTTCAATTCAAGTGCAGAAGTTCTTTTCATGTTACATCACCTGCTATTAGAAAACATACTTCAGTGGCTGAAATTCATGAACACTAAGTATAACATAGCTGAGATGTAGATTTAGAGACCCAAGGCCAAATTTTGCACTCATTTATATGCCTAGCAAAAAGATTGGAGTTAATGGAGCTGAATGAGGTGTGAAGCAGTGCAAGATTTGGCCTGTATGGTGGTGTCATTTAATCATCTTCAGGAGCCATTTTATTGGCAACATTTGCAGATGCATAAAGGTCACAAATCTGCTAGCACAGCTGCACAGTAGATTCCAGTTTATATTCTCCTCTTCTACTGGTATGTTCACTGGCTGACATCCATGAATAATCTACTGATACACAGTCAGAGAAGAAGAGCAGATGTAAGATCTACCATGCAAATTTGAAAGCGGAAGAAAGGAAGTCTGTTCTAGAGAAAATACATATGACCAAAAAGCTTTTGGAAACTCTTTTCCTTCAGATTCTTCCTGATGCTGGCTAAGGAGGAGAAAGAGTAATTGGATCAGTGCTATAATGTGAAACTACGCAGGACAAGACAATTAAATTTCCTTTCTGTAATTGCAGCCTCTCTGGATGTCCTATTGCTGCAGCAGAGAAACTGGCTAAAGCTCAAGAGAAGCATCAGAACTGTGATGTGTCAAAATCAAACCAGGCATCAGATCGGGTTTTAAGGTATTAGAAATCACTATAATACTTATTCTTATGCAGAATTCATCACACATTCACCTAATCTGAGAATTTATATTTATATACGTTGTATATACATACATATCTTCTTTAAAGAAGAGTTAGAATTAGGGCTTCTGGATCCAATCCTCACAGTGTATATTTCCCACTCAATTTACATGGGGGAGGGTTGGTAATTATTTTGGCAAGTACATGTAAAGCTGAAAAGCTCATTTTTGTCTTAGGCATTGTTTGGTGTAAAGATGACTGCTGGAGTGCAAAGTCTAAGAACAATGTGAAAAAAGTTGGTATCTTTTGGGAATAAACTAATATTTACCGGTAAGTCTTGGTTTTTTCAGCAGGCTTTTACTAGTAAATATCAGTTTAAATTAAACCAGAAGCCCTATTTACATTACCAAACTGGTAGTACACTTTTTGGCAGGACACTTGAAAAGTGCCAGGTACAACTTAGATTCCAAAATAAGGTCAGGCTTAGTTCTTTGTCGCTGTTTCTCCACTCACTGCCAGGAAGGACAGAAAGAGAGAAAAATTATCCTAAGTTTTCACACAGGAAGGACCTTGAACCAATTTGACATAATTTTCTCCCTTATCTTCATCCATATAGGATTCTGCATTTATCAAAACCTGTATCCAGCTTTGTGCTATTGTCTCCTCTTTTGAGATATGTGAGTGGAAAAAATATTATTTTTAAGGAGCTGAAGTGTGAAAGATACATGTAAAGGAACTAGACTTCTGCATGATTGTACCAGCCTTATGCTGAAGATGCCCCAAGAGCTGCAGAATTTCTCCATGGATACTGCAGTATCTGTGGGCTGGGATAGGTACATCCCTCCCAGCTGCCTGGATGAGCATGGTGGAAGTGCCGCAGCTTTAGTTCCCAGAATTTCCTACTTATCCCATAGGTTTCTTAGTATTTAGATATCTTCTGGATTTAAAATCTGATAGGGCTGCTTAAAATGAAAGTTTTCTACTGTATTATCAATGTCATTCTTTGAATATTCTCTTAAAACTTCATCTAATCTTCATGGTCTTTCCAAAAACCAATCTTTCCATAGAGCTACGAACACAGAATTATGGTTCACATCTACGTAAGATTTTTTGTCATGCCTGTTGACTTTGTTTTCCTTCCTCAGATTGCTTTTGATGGGCTTTATCCTAACTGCCCCTAATTCTCATTGTATGGTTTTTCATAGAGCATCCCAGACAGTTTTCTTAGAGAAGGGTTCTTCAAATCCTGTAAATGAAAACCACCCTTTGAGGGAGTAACGCAGTTTCTTACTTGTTGGAAAAAGATGGATCAAAATAGCTGTGGCTCTTCCCAGTGCCCATTGGAGGGAAGCCACTGAAGTCAGATGCCATACAGAGAAGGCAACTGCTCAAAAGCAGCATCCAGTTTGCTGGCAAACTCCCTAGGAAGTTGCGCTCCAATCTTAACTTTTCTTGTGAGCTTGCTGTGTTTCAGATTCTATAGACAACTCAAATAATGCTTTCATCTTGTCTCCTGCTTCCCTTTTACCTTTAAGTCATTGAAGCATTTAAGATGAAGAACTTGGGAGCTATTTATAATATTTACATGCAGGCAACTGATGGGCAGACAGAGATGTTCTAAGACTAAATCTTGAATATTTGTCTTCATCCCAGTTTCCATCCCACCTGCATTTAAAATTTCTTACTTAAAAAGAAATCAAATCCATAGGGCTTCTGTTCCACATAAATTTTGGATTTGCATTGAATGAAGAGGATCTGAATTGCATTTTTTTAGCTAAATATATATTATCTTGAGACAGGATCGAAATACTATTTGTATCAGCTCATTGTATAAATGAGCGCACTGTATTTTGTGAGGAAGACGTGTCTAAAGGAACGAGCATACATAAATCAAAGGGAGTAGTATGACTAATATGATTTCTTGAGTGATCTTTACATAAATATCCTGACTAAAGTCTAAGAAAATTAATTCATTCAGAAAAACTTAAAATTCAAAACCTTTTTCTTGCTATTTATCACATTCCATTTTGTTAGTCAGCATGATGATACTTCTGGTCTTGACTGAATTTATGTTCTTACGAATGTTCCTTCCATTTCTTCTGGTTATAAATGCAGTAAAGAGAAAAAAAAAAAAAAAGAAAAAAACTTGATTGTAGGATTCTTGATTCCAACCTCAGGTGTGCTGTTCTTCATCTTCACCTCCTGCTAAATGCAGTAGGTAGACAAGCAGCACTGTGTAGCAGTTGCTGCCTATGGCCCAGTCATATACCACTTTCTTAATAGAGGACAAGGTTTGCAGAATCTGACCTTCATTTACCTGCTTTGAGAGCTGATGACTTCTGTGTCCACATGCAGAAAACACCATGACAATGGAGGAGTTCACTACAGCATTCTTGCACTGAGTTTTTACAAGTATCTCCAATGGCCAAAGGAGATCAGTCAGGGCTTCTCCTGACTATTCTCCCTGATTTTAATCAAGAGAAATGTATCTCATACAGTTTCATTCTATATTCATTTGCAGAACCTTCCTTGAGCTGTGTGTCTGCGTATCAGAAATAGCAGCTCCTGCTGGAACCTTGCATTTAAGGGTGAGCAGGACCTGCAAGGCAGCAGCTCAAAGTCAACAGAGGTTTTGAGACTCTCCTATGTATTTCTCAAGATGCACATGCATTTGTATATTGAGGGATGAAACACAACTAGCTCCTTTGGAAAGCACGTGGGAAAACAGTATACAACTCCACTGAAAGAAGTTCAGAGGAAACTCCATTAATTAAGTGGAGCTTCCAGTGCTATTTTTATTTTCTGACATTTAAAGAAATCTGTCCAAACTTCTTCTGTCAGTTTGCCTGCCCCTCCTTAATTCACCTTCCTAAAGAGAAGATGTTCGCCGGGTGATGCAATTACACGGGGAAAGGGAAACCCTGAAGTATTTTAAAACAGAATTTTAAAATACTTTTAGCTACAGGATACATTTAGTAGTATTAGAATTAATTTTGTCTAGGCTTTGTTCAAGAAAATATATATTGTTTGTCTGCTGAAAATAACCAAACTAAGCAAATGCAATAATATATTGCTGTCTCTTGAGTACAAGGAATAACTAAGATTTTCTAATCTGAGCTATAAATTATGCACAGACACAGTAAACTGAACTGCATCTAACAAACTTTACATATCTTTAATTTCTAGGCCCATGTGCTTTGTTAAGCAATTGGAGATCCCTCAGTATGGCTACAGAAACAATGTCCCCACCACCACACCCCGCTCCAACTTGGCCAAGGAACTAGAGAAATACTCTAAGACTACGTTTGAATATAACAGTTATGAGAACCATGCCTATGGCAAGAGAGCCATAGCTCCCAAGGTGCAATCCAGGGATATATCCCCCAAAGGATATGATGGTAGGAGGTGCACACTCTTATACATGAGAGACAAGTTTGTAGTTAATCGTGTTGTTGTATATGTAAACATCATACAAATAAGACATGTTTTCATGTTCATATAGTATATGAGGAATACTGTCATGTGTAAGTTATTTTAAAGGCCTTTTAAAAAAGCGTTGTTTTATATGGTGCTTGCTTCAGGATTGTTGCAGTGGCAAAAGAACATCTCCAGCTATTAGGCTCCTGGGTTGTGTTGAGATTGCAATAAAAGCTAAGTAACAGAGCCAGTCCTTGTGGTGAAGGAGCACTGCATTATGGTGCTATCTGGGAGATCTGGCCTCAAGGGTCACATTAGGATTCTCGCTTCTGTACGGTAGTTCAGGTGACTCGTAAAGATAACATACTTGCTCTGTGGGGATACGGAAGTAGAAAATCTGGATCTCATTGCACTTCAGAAATCACTGCTACTTACTTAATGAGTCATTTCTGCTCATTTTGTCCTCATGAATACACCTGTTGAAGTCTCTCGAAAACCTAAGTAACGTGTGTAGGAGAGGGCTGAAAGCTGCTTCAGTTCAGGAGAAGACGATGGGGTCTCTTAGACAAGAAGATTTTTATTAGGGGAGAAAAATGAATGGCAGGATAATAAATGAGGATTTGGATTGTAGCTTTTGAGGACATCAGTAATTTTTCAGAGCAATACAATTATATGTGTGTATGTATATTTTGTATTTGTATATATAAATTTATGAAACCAAACTGTGCCTTTATCTTCTATTTTCTTTCTTTTTTTTTGAATGGCAACAGTTTATTTTTTGGTTAAAGTATTTTATAGTACTCAATGACTACCATAAGAAATTTCAGGCAGATGTCAGATTTTTGTTTAGGAAAACAGGGATAAGTATACTATATAGACCAATTTATGCTGTTGCCTGAACACAGACTCTGACATTGAAAAGTAGGTAAGTGGAGAAAGGGAAAATTGCTACAGCTTCTGCCTTCATATTTCTGATATTTTGCATATTTTGCTTTCTCATAGAATCAATAACCATGTTCTTGTACTATAGCAGAAAGGAGAAGGTTTGTGAAAGGCAACTTATTTTTGAGTAAAAGTGCCCTTTTTTCTTCTCTCATACGCTTGTCTTGTTTACTTGTGTCAGAATAAGGGCTTGAGAATTATAAAGGTAATGTGCTAAATCTAACTGTGATTAGTAAGCTAATGAGTGTACATTAATATAACATAAATGAGATATTAACTGTTGTGCATACAGTCTGTCTAGTCTTACAGAAAGGAAGGAGTCAGATTCTTGCTAGAGATCCTGTGGACATGCATATTTTCAGATCACATTACTGTTATTTAAGCAACTAATAGATATTTTTCTTATTTAAGATCCCTTTTCAACAAATAATTACAAACTCCACTTTTTTTTTTTACAAGTCACCAGAACTTGAAAATATTTGTAACATTAAGCACAAGTTTAACAGTGGCCTTAAATAGTGAAAAGCTAGGATGATCATAGAATCATAGAATACCAGGTTGGAAGGGACCACGAGGATCATCTAGTCCAACCTCTCGAGGTAAAAGTATAGTTTAAATGAGATGAGTCAGCACCCTGTCAAGCTGACTCTTTAAACTGACCAGTGTAGGGGAATTTACCACTTCCCCTGGGAGATTGTTCCAGTGTCTGATTGATCTCATGGTAAAAAAAAATTCTTCAGGATTATGTACATCACCAGATGTATATCTTCTGGATGATATACATCACCGTCTTTATGTACACACATCGTCCTTTGATATAAACAGGAATTTTACTTGGAGATAAGACTGGGACTAGGTTGTTTCACTGCTCAGTAATCTGAGCCAGAGAGGACTGAGGGACACTGCATACATGTGATTCATGCTGCTACAGCACATATAGATAGTTCTTGTGTACTCTGAACAGCTGACAGCCATTCTGGCTGGAGCAGGTTGTTTGGATTCCTTATGAATTTGTTCTATACTCCTGGCTCTGTAGGAGGCAGCACATGCTGTTCATCCACGTGATGTGTGTTCTGTTTGGCTAGACAGACATGCCGATGTGGTCCCAAAGATGGGACCTAATTTGTACCCTATCAGGGATTTTCATGAAACATTTAGGATTCACATCTCTTTGATATTCCATAACTACTCCATCATGTTTGGCTTAAATTTGCAATGGGTTTTGAAGTTCCTGAGAAATACCAGCTAAATTCATAGAACGATGAAGTTAAATCCTGGACACACTGAAATAGGTCAGAGTTTTGGCACTGCCTTTCAATGACACAAGGATTTTGCTGACAGTTATTGTAAATAACTGAATATGAAGGAGATTTCAGGACGAGGCTCTTGACTTAAAAAAACCACTTTTCCTCAAGAAACTCTGCAGTATTTCTAGGTGAATTCGTATTTGTGTGTAAAAAAAATTACTAATTACTGCTACTAAAGTCATTATGAAAGCACAGAGTGCACACCTATTATGTATGTCAGCAAACACATTTATAAAAAAGCAGATTTTTAGCTCAGAAAAGTCATCATGAAAACCTGAAAGGAAGCCTAAGGTTTTGGGAGAACTTGCAAGTAAACAGTGCTTTAGTTTTCTGACTCTGTAAGATGAGACAAATAGTCTAAGGATCTGAAAAATCAATAATTTCATGTCTCAATCCTTTTTTAATTGTAACCTAGAACTGTATTTTCATCATCAGATAAAGGGATTACCTGTTCAATAAGTGTATGGTTATGAGTGACATGAACATAAATAGCTCCTTTGGATTGTTTTCTTGATTTTTTTTTCCAGTAAGCTTTAATAAAAACCAAATAGAAAATGGATGCTCTGTATTGTGGGGTAGGATACTCTGATTAATTCTTAAGAAATCCTGTGTTTGTGGGCTTGTTTTTCCTTTGAAACCAATTTCATAGTGTATTGGATATTGGGCTGACGGTATACAGCAGTAGAGATAAGAACAGCTGGGCACAGCAGGCAGAGGAGACAGCTCTTTCTGTTGCTCAGATGGTGGCAGGAGCTCCTCTCATTCCACCAGTAGTACTGGGCCTTTCCATCAAAACACTGAGAAAGTGTTAGGAGTGGGAATCATCTGACCATATAGAGACTTTTATAACGTCAGCACCTACATCTGAGCTTGTCACCCCTTTCAGGTCCAAGGAGAAAGGTAGACACTTCTCTGATGCAGTTCATCTCCTCCTGAAGTACTTATTTAAAACCAGTCAGGTGAATCATTGCCTGAAAGTGACTATTTTTTCCCACTGCCTATGGAGGAAGCCTATAATGGATAGGTCAGATATCTGAAGTCAGGTGGGATGAATCTCATTGTGCAAGTCAGAAAAAGTATTGAAGCTGTCATTAATTTATGTAACACATACAAAGTTTAAGCAATACTGGGGGTCACGGTGCTTGGGCAGAATTTAAGTCCACTCAAAATATCTTAGTTTGATCCTTTATGTTGCTGGGATCTGTTCCACTCCTCCATTATTAATTAGCAAGAGGAGCCTGTAGACTTAGAAAGGTTCTTCGTAATCAGCCCAGTTTGGATATGCAGCTGGTTAGATATGTGTCTGTTATTTAATGGGAAAGGTGTTCTCTGCATGTGTTTTCACTCCAGATCATGAATGTAGGTGGACTGCAGAGCTTCCAAAGCCTGGTGCCGCAGCATTGGGTGATGAAGCAAACAGAGTTATCTATACCAGAAAGAATGCAGATCTCCCTTCGTTAGAGAGCAACTTGATTTAGTTCATTATAAATTGGTGATCTTTGTTTCTCCTGAAAAGCTAATGTGAAATGAACAGTCTGGGTTATGTGATTAATCTTAAAATGTACAGCTACATTAAAGTTAAAATAACCATGGCCATTTCTCTCTAAGTGAGTTTTGCTTAAATTATTGGTAATCTAAAAGCTAATAATTGCGCAGCATGCTTATAGCACTTCTCATCTTCAAAGTGTTTTGCAAGTGAATCACAACACAACTAAATTTTAGAAGCAACTTTCTATTTATAGGGAAAATGCATTGGAGGGATAATATAGTTTGACCAAGGCCACAGAGGAGTCCATATCAGAGCCTACATGAGTTTCTGGTGGTTAGTCCAGTGTATAAAGCTGCCTCTTTCCC